GGGGCCGTTTTTGGGGCCGGGCTGGAGAGGGGGTTTCCGGCAGGGGCGGTTTTAGAGGGCACCGGCGGAAGCGGAAGTGGCAGCGGCGGCCGGGCGGGATGGAGGAGCCGGAGATGCAGCTGAAGGTGAAGAAAGGTGGGAGCGGGCCGGGGTCCGGCGGGGGCAGGCGGGGGAGCGGCGGCTCGGGGGGCTCCGGCAGGGTTCTGCGGGTCTGAGTTGGCCGGTCGCGCCAGCAGCCTGCGGGCGGTGACGGGGCGCGGGACGCGGACGGGGCCCTGTCAGCGGCGGGAGGAGTCGCGACAGGGCCCTGAGAGGGGGAGGTGCGGCGGGACAGGGTGAGTCGCGATAGGGAGGATGGCGACAGGGCGTCGCGGGTGGTGGCAGGGCCGTGCAGCCCCAGGAAAGCACGGGGGGGTAGTCACCATGGGGGTCGTGCCCTGTGGGCCCCCCCCCCGGAGCCTGGAGCTGCCTTATGTCCCCCTTGTCCCCTCATTGCCCGGCCCTGGCAGGGTCTGTGTGTCGGGACAACTCCTGGCAGGGCCTGTGTGGGGACAGACAGCCGGACAGACAGACAGCCGTGTCTCTCGGTGGGTGTAATTATTCCCGTTGGCACTCAGAGGCTCAGCGCGTCCCCGGCGCTGCAGAACTGCCCCATCCAGGCGGTTGTCACTGAAACAAAAGCCCTGAAAGGAGGAGGAGGAGAGGATAATTCTCCTGAAAATAGAAAAATTCTCTGAAATTTGTTCTGCTTCAGCCTGGTGAAAACCCTCCCGGCTTCACGCCCCCGCTACAAACAATTAAATGAGCTCTGAGCTTTATGTATTTTAATTGTTAGGGGCTGTCAGCGTTCTGCCTGGAGCCTGTGGGGAAGGAGGGATCGGGGCTGTGATGTGGCTCCGCAGAGGGGCTCCTGCGTGGAGGGTGGTTTGGACAGAGCTTGGGCTGGGGTGGAGGAGGAAAAATTAACTCCACAAGCTGCTGGGATGGCACTGGAGCTTCCCAAGCCCTGGTGTGCGGCCACTTTGTCTCCTCCGTGGGGATTTTTGGGATGTCACCTGGGGGTGGTGGCTGGAGGGGAGCAAAGGAAGGACCCCCACAGCAGGGGGTGGCCAAGCTGCAGGAGATCACAAGGCCCTGAGCAGAGATGAGCCCAAATGGCTGGGAACGAGACGAGGAGCCTTCGGACCAGGAGATGCCGACTCTCCCTGTGGCTGCAGAGAGAGGAACGGGGGTCAGGCCACTGCTGGGCTCTGCTCGTCTCCTGCCATCACTCCAAAGTGGTCAGAAAGGGCCTGGTGATGGACACAAGCCAAGTGGTGCCTTGTTCTCTGAAACTAGAACAACCAGAGCTCGTAGGGGACCGTGGAGGTGGTGACATCCCAGGCTGGTCTGGAATCGGAGGTCCCTGTTCAGCAGGATGTTGCTTTTACCTCCCAGTTGCCAGGGATGTGGGTTTTTTTCCTCTGCTCTCTCCGTTGTTGTGTTGAGGAGGGGAGCAGGGCACCCTTTCCAACCTTCTTCCCCCTTGTTGCTCCCCGCTTTCCCTAACTCTGTTGTTTTTCTTCTTGCAGTTACGGACAAATTCACAGAGAGCATGTACGTCCTGGCCAACGAGCCCTCCGTGGCGCTCTACCGGCTGCAGGAGCACGTCCGGAGATCCCTCCCGGAGCTGGCACAGCATAAGGTGAGTCCTGCTTCTCTTTGGGCTCCAGAGCTCTGATCCAGTCAGGCACGAGCCCCCACCCTGTTGCTCCCTGCTTTCCGTAACTCTGTTGTTTTTTCTTCTTGCAGTTACGGACAAATTCACAGAGAGCATGTACGTCCTGGCCAACGAGCCCTCCGTGGCGCTCTACCGGCTGCAGGAGCACGTCCGGAGATCCCTCCCGGAGCTGGCACAGCATAAGGTGAGTCCTGCTTCTCTTTGGGCTCCAGAGCTCTGATCCAGTCAGGCACGAGCTGTTTTCCTGACCTGGCACATCGTCCCTATTTCACCTCCCTTTGTGGGTGGGAGGAAATCGGCCATCGGGGGGGGAAAGTGCTGTGGGATCCCGTCTTGGTCTGAACTGGGAGAGAAGGGATGGGGTGAATTTACCCGTGGTTCTGAGTTTTTAAAAAAAAGAAACAAAACTTGAGAGTCCAACCATGGTCCTGTGCTCTGGCAGCTGGATTGTGCGCGGAGACAAAGAAAAATGAGTAGTCTGTCTTGTACGGGGAGGAGGGAGATGTTAAATCTTATTACCCCTGCCTACGCTGTGAGATTTTTATTTCCTACATAAAATAAGAGGGGGGTGGGGGGATGGCGAGACATCGTCCCTATTTCACCTCCCTTGGTGGGTGGGAGGAAATCGGCCATCGAGGGGAGGGTGAGGTGCTGTGGGATCCCGTCTCGGTCTGAACTGGGGGTGAAGGGACATGGTGAATTTACCCGTGGTTCTGAGTTTAAAAAAAAGATACAAAACTTGAGAGTCCAACCACGGTCCTGTGCTCTGGCAGCTGGATTGTGCGCGGAGACAAAGAAAAATGAGTAGTCTGTCTTGTACGGGGAGGAGGGAGATGTTAAATCTTATTACCCCTGCCTACGCTGTGAGATTTTTATTTCCTACATAAAATAAGAGGGGGGTGGGGGGATGGGGAGGGGGAGGGAAGGGGGAGCGTGAAGAAACAAGTGCAAAGAGCCTGCATGAGGCAAAGGGGGATAATGAATCGCATCTCACAGCTGTGTTCCTCCTTTCCTCCAGAGCACGGAGCACAGACACTTTAATGCCAGCCTTGTTGTCCTTCTCCCTCTTCTGCCAGTCATGATTCATTAGGAGTGATGTCTCATGAATAGATTACTGCTTCATGTCTATGCTAATGCACTGTCAGGCCCCATTTTTCACCTTTGCTTTACAGCCCTGGTTTCCAAATTAACCTGGATGGTGACACTTTATTATTCAATTATTTATTAACGTTTTATATACGTGTCTGGGTGCGAGGGGAGGTATATAGAGATGTATGTGTATGTATAGCCCATGCTGAGGTGATTGCATCGCTGGCATGGGGAGGGGGGGGGACACAGGTTTGTAATATTATTCCTGAGCTGTCACTTGCTTTCGTGTAATCAAGGTAGTCCCAATTTCAGGGAACGTGTCCCGAGCGAAAGGAGATGGAGCAAATTGTATGACAAGTCATGCAGAGGGAAGGGATCGGTTTCCATCACGGAGCGGGGCTAAGGGCGAGGGGCACTAATGGAAGTGACAGCCGAGGGAAGGAGCTGGATGCAGAGTGTGGTGTTTGGCAGTGGGGTTTATGCTGGGCAAGATCTCTGAAAACCCTTGATTCTCTCATTTTCCCTGCTTGACATGCTCTCTGCAGTGATCCACAGCGTTCTGTGACCTCTGTGGCCCACCCAAGTTCATTTCCCAGCTGCAGCCGTCCCACAGAATTCTCTTTTGTAGCCAAAATTGCTGCTGTTTTCCTCTTTCTTCCCATGAGAAAGGAGGTCGTGCTGTCCTGTGGATGCCAGCAGCAGACACAAGGGCCCCGTGTCCCTCCTGTGACCGCAGCCATCACGAGCACCAGATACCTTTGGTCTTGGATGCCTTCATCCTGCAGCCCCCCCAGGCCCTGGCCACTAGCCCCAGCTGGGGCAGCAGTGGCCTTTGTGCAGGAGGAGGAGCTCGCTGTGATCCCTGCAGTAACGGTGCCCCTCAGGATGAAGCTGAGCTGACTGTGCTGTGCCCACTGCCCTGGTGCCACCCCAGTACCCATTTCCCTCTCTAGTGTTAGAAAACATTCCCCGATGCTTGCTTGGAGGTGCTGCTTTTCCCATCCATTTCTTTTTGCCCCCCCTGCATGGGCACTTCCAACTTCTTAATTTGTCTGGTTCCCAGCTGTGTTTAAGGGTGCACTGTTGTGGCTTGAACTGGGAGAAAAATGGGAAGCAAATTAACTTGTGGCAGCTGGAACAACAGCAGATCCAGAGCTGCTGCTGGTGGCTTCTCCTCCAGCATCGTCAGCTCCCGAGTTCCTTTTTTCCAAGGCTGTAGCATCATGTCTGGGAGCACATTCTCCTCCATGCTAGTCCCTGGTAGCAACTGGGATGATTAAACATACCAGTAGCCTGGCAGCACAGCCAGGACACTGGCCCAGCTGAGTTAAGAGCCTCGTGGCTGCATTCTCTATTGTTTCCCTTCATCCCACTCTCATTTTATCCCCATTTCAGGCGTTGCTGTTTGCAGTGAACAGGCTGGGCTTCTCAAGCCCTTGAACCCAGGCAGCCAAACCCCAGGAGACAGGGATGTGCTCAGGGCCCTGCCAGGGCCATCCTCACAGCGGAGCCTTCAATTAGCTGGGGAATGGATATTTTGGGTTCTTCTGCCAGAGCCTCATCAGCTTCGTGGCTGGAGACTGGAACGGGAGGGTGTCAGGAGGGCTGTGCACCGTGAAAACGCTGTCAGGTTTTATCTAAATCAGAGCAAAGGCATTAAAGTGAGGTGGTTTTAATTCTTCCGAATAGAAAAGAAGAAAAAGGAACATTCTGTGTGGATCCCTTCTCAGGTAATTTAGTCCCAAGATGTAGGTAATGTATAAAGGAAACAGGATTTATTGGTGATTTCCAGCTTTGTTTCAGCTGTGCTGCAGCTCTGGCTCTGGCTGAGTTCTCCTGAGATGCAGCCTTTGAGATTCCCCCAGGAAAAATTAAAAGGGAGGGGGCTTGGAGAAAAGTTTCTGTGAAGGGAAGGTCACCTCCCTGCCTTTACAACGAGCAACTTTCTGTGATTTGATAAAATAATAATCTTAATACCTTCCTCAGCATCTCAAACTCTCCAAGCAGATTTACTCCTCCCCGATAAGACTCAGCCTGATGCGAGGCCCCTGCTGCTTCCACGTGCCGTCGCTCTGCACAGAGAGACCTTTCTGGATTCCTCCTGCTCTTTTGAGAACTTAGATCTCCTCGTTAATTTACTTCCAAGCCACAGTAATGTATCATTAGTGCTATTGTGTATTAATAGCTGGCTTTAGTTCTTAAAACTGCATCCCAGGGCACGTCCTGGGAATTTGAAGAAAGGACCTCAAGAAAAGATTAAGAAGTGAGGAGCTCTAGGGAAAGGCTCTTGTTCCTGATAAAGGACGTGAAAATCCCAGGAAGGGATGGGAATGCTGGAAACAGACATCACTGGCTCTGATAACTGGGAAATGATTAAAATTTGCTGGTGCTCAGAAAGGGCAGGAGCACAGGCTGTGACACACGACTGAGCCAGAGCGATGTCGGGGTCTAAATCATCTGTTAGAAATCATCTGGCAGAGATGATTAGATTATGGAAATCATCAGTAGGTGTTAGAAATTATCTGGCACCTCTTGGAGAGAGCGGGGCGAGGAGCTGCAGGAGAGTTTCTGCCCCTTTTGCGGCCGCTTCTGCACACAAAGTGTGTTCCCAGCAACAGCTAAAACACAACTGGACTCTGGACGAGGGCAGTCTCTGTGGGGTTGGGAGTCCTGGGTGGAAGGACCCTCTCCTGCAGAGAGCTGCCTGCAGCGTTGCGTGTCCAGGCTTGTTTCTTTTGTAGCTCAGAGGGCTGTGGTCAAGCGTCCTGATGTAGGACAGGCTTTGAACAGCCCAAGTGATTTTGGACGAGGTCCAAGCTCCCGCTCCGACCTCCTTCGCTCACAGAAAGAGGCCCTTGGATTTCCTCTGGCTGGTAACTAGACCCGGTAGAATAGGCTGGAGAATTAGCTCCCATGAGAACAGGTTTTAAAGAGTGCCCGAAGTGCTCAAGGACTTTCAAAATACTTATCTATTGAGCTACACCTCTGAATTCAGCTGCGCTTTCCTGGTGATTTGTATATTTGTTTGTTCTTTCTCTTTCCATGGCAGAGCTGGCTGCCTGTGGTGCTGCTCCGGGGTGTGTGGTGTTTCCTGGGCTCCTTCCAGCTGGTGGAGGGAAGGGCTTGGCATCAGGCACCGGAGTTTCAGAGCAGAGGAGAGGTGTGCTTGTGGCTGTAAAAACATTTGTGAGTGGTGGGTCTAATGGAATGAGGAGTTTCAGTGCTGTGAAGGAAACTTTTACCTGGTTTTGCGTGAAGGAGGGAGCTGTGTGAGGTCAGATCCTGCTGGGCCAGACACACCAGGAGATCCCAGTGCTCTGAAACATCCCACTGGGTCCGTTGCTCCCAGCCTGACTGTGGCTCTCAGCTGGCTCGTGGGCTAAACCATCTAAAAACAAGCTGGGTCCGTTGCTCCCAGCCTGCCTGCCCGTGGCTCTCAACTGGCTCGTGGGCTAAACCATCTAAAAACAAGGGGAATTTTGCCAGAATATCCAAAGCGTTGGCCTGAACTAGTAGCCCTTCCAGAAATACACACAATAAATGTTTCTTTTAAAGGCTAGTGCTCGGTGCCTGCAGCTTGTCATAGGCTGTCAAGCGGGAGCCAGAATCCAAGCACAATTTGCAGTGAAAAGCAGGGAGAGCCCCTGTTTGGGCAGGGCTGGCGGAGCATGTGGGGCTGTGTCTGTCCTCAACGATGCCACCTCCTCTTCTCTTGCAGTCGGACATGCAGAGCTGGGAGGAGCAGAGCCAAGGAGCCATCTACACGGTGGAGTACGCCTGCAGGTACAGGAGACTCCCCCGAGCTGGAGGGTTGTGTTCACAGATCACAGAATCACAGAATCTTCCAGGTTGGAAGGGACCTTAAAGATCATCTTGTCCAACCGTCAACCCGACTGACAAAAATAGACACCCCCACAACAAACAAGGAGCATCATCACTAAACCAGACCTCCCAGCACTACATCAACCCGGCTTTTGAACACCTCCAGGGATGGGGCCTCCACCCCCTCCCTGGGCAGCCCATTCCAAGGGCTGAGAACCCTTTCAGGGAAAAAATTTTTCCTAATATCCAGCCTGAACCTCCCCTGGGGCAACTTGAGGCCATTTCCTCTCGTCCTGTCGCCTGTGACTTGAGAGAAGAGACCGACCCCCACCTCTCTACACCCTCCTTTCAGGGAGTTGGAGAGAGCAATAAGGTCTCCCCTCAGCCTCCTCTTCTCCAGGCTGAATAACCCCAGCTCCCTCAGCCTCTCCTCATAAGACTTATTCTCCAGACCCCTCACCAGCTTTGTCACCCTTCTCTGGACCCGCTCCAGCCCCTCAATGTCTTTTTTATGGTAGGGGGCCCAAAACTGGACACAGCACTCAAGGTGAGGCCTCACCAGTGCCGAGTACAGGGGGACAATCACCTCTCGGGCCCTACTCCCCACACTGTTCCTGACACAGGCCAGGATGCTGGTGGCTTTCTTGGCCACCTGGGCACACTGCCGGCTCATGTTCAGCCAACAGTCGACCAACAAGGCAGAAACCGCCTGTTCTTGCTCTGGTGTGAGGCAGGGGGGTTTGAGGGTGTGGGTCAGTGCTCTCTGAACCCTCACCATGAATTTGTGATGTGTGACAGCTCTTCCCCTTTTCCGTGCGCGGTGCAGACCTCCCAATCTCCTGCCCTAAATCCACCCACCAGCCAGCTAAGGTTTGAGGATCCATAGAAACTTGAGGTTTCTTATTAACAGTCATAGACTCATAGAATTATCTGGGTTGGAAGGGACCTTTAAGGTCATCGAGTCCAACCATCAACCTAACTCTGATAAAAAAAACGTTACTGAGCCATCACTCAGCACTAGGTCAACCCGTTTTTTAAATCCCTCCAGGGATGGTGCCTCAACCCCTTCCCTGGGCAGCCTATTCCAAGGCTTAATAACCCTTTCAGTGCCCAGATTCTTCCTCCTATCCCATCTGAACCGCCCCTGGGGCAACTTGAGGCCGTTTCCTCTTGTCCCATTGCCTGTTCCTTGGAAGAAGAGATGGACTCCCTTGGCTACACCCTCCTTTCAGGGAGCTGTAGAGAGCGAGAAGGTCTCCCCTCAGCCTCCTTTTCTCCAGGCTGACAGTCCTCTCTGTTGGGGGGTGGGTGTGTGTGTGCTAAAACCACATGATGCTTTCAGAAATACTACCCAGGCCTCCATCTCCCTCCACCCCTCGGCCTCTTTTCTCTTTTCAGTGCTATCAAGAACATGACTGACAGCAGCGTGTACTTCAAGAGCATCGACAGCCTCCTCAAACACGCCATCGCCATGAAGGACCAGCTCAACGCCGCCCAGGGCCGCAGGTACCAGGGGGGATGTGACACTGTTTATCCCAGTGACCATCCTGGCTGGGGGGGGTGGGAGGGGGGGCTTTGGTGACCTAACACAGCCCCGTGCAAATACATTATCTCAGTAATATCATTCTAGACCATTGTTTGAAAGAGCACGCGGCTTCCCTTCCCCTCATCTTCTGGCTGTGTTTACTGGGAAGCAAATAATCTTGTTTGCAAAAGGTTAACTGGAAAATAATTTATTTCCTCATTAAAAAATAAAACAAAACCAACGTTTGGTTGGGTAATACATGAAATCTTTGTGGTGTCAAAGGCGTTTGGAGGGAGATGATGCAGCCGCGATGGAGTAGGCGAGAGGCTGCGTTTGGTGCTGTTCTCTGTCGTGGATCTGGTGGGTTTTGGGCACAGTTCCAGGGAGATGAGCAGCAGCAGAATGATGATGTGGGGTTTTTTGTGTGTGTGTGTTTGCAGTTGAACTCCAGCTACTAAAATATCTTCCAGCAGATTGTCTGAGTGCAGTGTATTTGTCTCTCCTGAGAAGGGGGTTGGGATTGGAGTCTGACCGGGCAGTGGTGAAAAAATTCCCCAATGCCCATCCCTGATAAAACCACCACAGTGAAGAGAGAGGCTCTGTCTCTGCAGAATGACTCTGCCTTAGATGCTGCTGGTTCAGATTCTGTATTTTCCTGGCTGCAGAGTCACGTTCTGTGCAGCCCACAGCATTTTTAGTGGTTTTCACAGTGGCGTGTGGGTGCAGAGATTGGGGCTGGTGGGTTCTGCTCTGGGTCTGCACTGAAAGGTGTGCTGGCCTAAGCCATTCTCCTGCTGCAACCAGTGAGATTTTATTTGTGGGAGTCCTCAATCCTTCCCATTTTCCACACTGTAGAGAGGTTGGGGCTGGTCTCTTCTCACAGGTCATTAGTGACAGAACGAGAGGGAATGGCTTCAAGCTCCAACAGGGGAGGTTTAGATTGAACATTAGGAAGGAATTTTTCACCCAAAGAGTGGTCGGGCATTGGAACAGGCTGCCCAGGGAGGGGGTGGAGTCCCCATCCCTGGCTGTGTTTAAGGGCCGTTTAGATGCAGTGCTGAGGGACATGGTGTAGGGGAGGACTTTGTAGAGTAGGGGAGATGGTTGGACTCGATGATCCCAAGGGTCTCTTCCAACCTCAATGATTCTATGACTCTATCCACTAACACTGGCTTCACAAGTCACACTGCCCATTCGTCGGTCAGGTTTCTCACTGGGTTCTTCCAGTTAAAAACCATAACGTGTGCATACAACATAAATGTATTTAATAGAATCAAAAAACCCTGGAGGGAAAAAGAT